AATTTTTGTTTTAATGTTCAAGAAAAGTGTTCTAAATTTAAAAATATTTCTCGAACTTCTATATTCGAGGGAATAAAATAGTCTACATTATTCTTATAGAGAGTTGTAGTGTTCGTAAAAAACACAAATGAAATTCTTTGTTTAAAAATATTTTTCTTTTGTTCATTAGAAAATTTTTTTAAAAAATTTTCTAATGAACAAAAGAGAAATATTTTTAAACAAAGAATTTATTTTTTATTATTACTTTTTAGTTAAATTTCAAATATTTTTATTATTTTTTGAAATCGTATTGTCATTATTATTATTTTTTATTTATTTACCTTTATATAAAAAACGACTGAATAAACAATTATTATTTTATAATTTGATAATAATTTGTGTTATATAATTATTACTAAAAGAAAAGCAAAATATATTCTTGAATTTACAATAAAAAATTTTCGAGTGAAAGAAATAGTGAAGACATAAAACTTTCTCAGACTTAACATTTAACGTAAGAGCACAAGTGACTAAAATCTTGTTCGCAGTATAAGTGAAATCGAAGTTATTCGATACATATGATAAATATCTAATTACCTTATTTGTCGTTTAGAAAAAAAGTGTATTTTCACAGTGTAATTTCACTTTTTGTCCATAAGAATCGTTATTGAAGAATTTTCAAAGAGGACAAATTTTTTTTTTATTGATACATCAAGAAAAGTCGAAGAGATTTCTTTAGAAGTTGAAAAAATTTTATACTTGAATTTTTATTCGAAAGAAAGGTTTGCGGTTGGATGCAAAAAAATTTGATTAATCTTCATTTGATAATGATTGCGTGTTTATAATTATGAAGCTTTTTCAGATGCATAAATTATTCGAAGTGAATCTTGGGGGAAAAAAATCTTTAGTCACCATTCACTTTGGCTGTCATCTTGAATGTGGGACATGGACGCTTGAATCACGATATGATGTCAAGACCAAAGAGGGTTCGTAAGGAAAGTAGAGTGCTTGTTGAAGAAAAAGAGAGTTTACACGCACTCCAATTGAAAGATCAAGAGTCAATACGTAATATCGTTCGTTTTTTTAAGGAAATGGAGATTTTTTTTCTGTTTTATATTCTGCGGAAAAAAATGTTTCGTTCGGTTACGAAAGGAACGAGAGGTTAAAAAAAATTGCGAAGATTACTTCATAATTTTTTAACCTTTCCTCTTTTAGTCCTAGATTTTTTTTTTATTTCTTCTCAATTTCTTTGGCTTCTCTACTATTGTAGATTTATTGTAAATTTCTATAGTAGATTCTGTAACTTGTATTCGACTAGTTCATCAATTTTTATCATTTGATTATTAATTATTAATCAATTCGAATTGGAACGAAAAAAATTTCGAATTTGACAATAGATTTCTTTATTATAAAGAAAATATTTACTTGAAACAAATAATTTGCCTCGCATATTGTATTATAATTTATAATAATATAATAAAATAATTAAAATATATTCGTTAGGTTTTTTCTATTTTGAATTTCGCGCCAAAACAGTTCACTAAATTCCCGCCTAGAGGGCATGAAAATTCTCTCACAAACGAAATGAAGCGAATAGAGTACACAAAGTATGGTGATACTGTAAAATCGTTTCGTTTCAGTTATTAAAATAATAATTCAAATTACGATAATAAATAAATGGTAAATATAAATAAACGAAAACAAAAATTACAAAAATAAATAAATAAATATAAATATAAATATAAAAAAATAGGAAAATTTTTACTAGAATTCGTGTAGAAATTCTATGGAATTATTCTAGTAAAATTCTATATAGAATGTTCAGGAGAAAAAAAATTGCACAAAAAACGACGTAAATTTTTGTCCTCGATTTTGTCGTGTATTCGCAACAAATCTAAAGCGATAGGAGGTAGATTGCTCATTCTTGTTGCACGCCTTGCTTGCATGATACAAAATGTATATCTATATTTATTCAAGCTTGTACTCGTTCACATGTGTAATGCGAAAATGTTACCTTGCATCCTGCACTAAATGATGCAGCTCCTACAAAAAGAACAAAACTTCCATCTTAATTATTATCTATAATTATAGACACAAATTGTAAATTTTATATTCATTTGTCTCTCTTTTTCTCTCTCTCTCTCTCTCTCTCTCTCTCGCTCAAACATAATTAATTCACATTTATGAAAATTAAATAAAGGGAAACATTAGTTAGGAATAAAAAATTTCAGTTAAATGATAATTTTACTCTTGGATAAATATTTGATCGAGTGGAAATTCAATTTTAATTTTCAGTATGTAGTATAGCTTTGAATCGAATTTTATGAAATTTAATAAAAATCCAAAGAAATAAAAATTCCGTCAAATAAAAATTCGACTGATAAAAAATTAAAAATTCAATAAAATAAAAATTCAATTAAATAAAAAATCGACTCAAAAATTCAGTTAAATAAAAATTCCTTTATATAAAAATTTTACTGTATAAAAATTCAGTTAACCTAAAAATCGACTAAATAAAAAATTCGATTAAATAAAAAATTGACCAAGAAATTTAGTTAAATAAAAATTCCATGTACTAATAAAAATTCAATTAAATAGAAATTTTACTAAAGAATTCAGTTAAATATAAATTCGATTAATTAAAAAATTTAATTAAATAAAAAGTCGATTAATAAAAAATTCAGTAAAATTTTAATTAGTCCACTGTCAGCGTCAAGTTTGGCAAAATTGTATATAAAAGAAAATGAAAACGAATTTCTTTCGCTATAAATAAAAAAATTCTCGCAAATCCTGTTTCTTAAAAAACACAAACAATTGGATCACAAAGAGATAACTGTAAACAGTAGAATATCACTGTACCTATAAATCTTTCACGATTCACAATACAATATCTTGAAAATGAATGACCTTTACATAGTGAAATGTAGAAAAAAAAACTGATACGTGACGTAAAAGTCATATGGTGTTTGTTTCTATTAAGTTTGTATCTATCATCATAATTTTTTTCGCCCATTTATATGTGCGTTTGTAGAGGAAAAAAATTAATAATGAATTACAAATTTTGTTTGGATCAATGTTTGAATGGCTTTCGTATTTAATGATATGTATAGTTTTCTAACTAATCGAGTTTATATATTTTTTTCTTTTTTTTTTGCTAAATTCCCTGCTTGGTTTTCCCCCTATCAATATATGTATAAATGTGATTGATCTACAAAGTGTTGAGCTTTATCTTTTGTACCAACAAGTGCATGCTAATTATGAGTTCCCAGATAAAGTCTCGATTCCAAGCAGAGAGTGTCTTCGCGATTACTATAATAAATTATTAGACGAATTAATAGATAAACAAACTATTTCTCGATTCTATACTGTATTTATTGCTTTATTAGTTGACATAAAATGTTAATATAATATTAAATGAATAAATTACTCGTATTTTTGAATAAGCGAATAAAGAAATAAATAAATTATTTTTATTACTAGTTATTGAATAATATTTTTATTTAATTACTTTTTTTATCTAGTGAAGAAAAAATTTATTTGATTCAAATATCCGTTTAATTGACTATTATCAAATAGATATTTATTTGAATCATAAAATTTTTTCAATGTATTATTATTATTATTATTATTATTATTATTATTATTATTATTATTATTATTATTATTATTCGTGATAAGTATTAATTATTAATTAACAACTTAATTGTTAATTTCTTAAATACTGCCGAGTGATCAATTCAATTAACAAATTAATTGTTAATTATTAATAATTACCCATTTTTTTCAAGGATATCAAATTGAGACAAAAAACGTATAAAAATTGTAGAAATATAACATTTTGATTACATTTTTGTCTCAATTTTATATCCTTAGAAAAACTGTGAATACTTTTTAAGAATAATAGTAAAATTTAATTAATAAGACAAACTTTGTTAATAATAGGTTATGAAATATTTTTTGGATCAAGAAATATTTTATTGTTGATTTCAACTAAATTTTGATTTTATCTTTTTATAAGTCACTGTCATGAATAATTTCAAAGAGATGTATATATAATTTGAAATGAAAATTGGAATTTCTGAAATTTTTGTTAAATTGAAGATGTATTTTGTGTGTTTTTTTTTGGTCTCTTGAAATTTATTAAAACATGAAAGGTCTTTTGCAAAAGTAGACAGCTGGTAACTATGTCACACATTGTACACTAATTGAATCCGGAATGTTTGCTCTTTAAGAAAATTGCCACATAACTAACTGTTTTGCCAAGGTTAAGATTTCTCATTTGCAATAGAAAAGCTGTACACAAACAAAATATACAGCTTTGTGATATGTATGATATAAATGAAAATTTCTAGTTTACGATCAATATTGAAAAAAGTAAAAGAAATTTTTCGTTAACTATTATTGAGGAAAAAAAAATTCTTTTTACTTTAATTTCAAATTGCACTTTTATTTTAATTACACTTTTATTAACTATTGAATTTTTGTTTTAATTACATTTTTTTAAATTTAACTTATTTAATTTACATTAAATTAAATAATTTAATAATAATAATAGTTATTATTATTAAATGATACTAATAATAATTATTATTAAATAATAATTATTATTATTCAATAATAATAATAATAATTATTATTATTCAATAATAATATTTAAATTTACAGTTACACTTATTTTTAATTTACATATTTTTTATTATAAGACACTGGAAAAATTGAATTTTTCCAATCACGAGAAAATTGTTTGGTACGTGTGGGAGAAAATTATTTTGATCAAATATCAAAATCCTCATATAATTTATTTTTCTGTTGGAAGAACAAAAATTTTTGATTTTCAAGTATCTGAATTGGATCAAATGAAACTTGATTGAAACTTTATTGATATTTAGTCGAGATAGCTAAGTATATTTTTTTTATCACTATTTATGGTAATTTGTGGTAATGTATGGTAGTTGAGTATATTTTGTAATTTTCGAAAATTTTAAGGGATGATAATAATTGGAATTCTTTTTTTCTTTCAGTCCCTCCATCGGAGAGTGTGTATATGCTATGTGGCGTCGTAATAGCGATGGTATTAGTTGGAGTCATTATTGTTCTCTTGGCCGTTACTATCAGGTAAAATTTTTAATATTTATTTATTTATAATTATTTCAAAAAAAAATATTGTCAATATTGGTAATAATTTCATTTGAGAAAAAATTTATTTAAGAAAAAAAAAATATTGACAATTTTTAGTTTTTACTGCTAAAAATAGTCTTGTTTTAAAGTAACCAAAAGATTGTTCTCCGAAAGTTGAAAGTAGTAATTAGTTTAAATTTCCATTTGGTGGAAATTAATTTCGTAAATTTTTTATTTGGTAAAACAAATTTATTATAAAAATATGATTTTATTTGTTTAAACTACTTTTGAAAAATATTTTTTAACTATATTTTGAAAAAATGCTTCAAGACTATTTTTACAGTGTACACTAAACATAAGAATAAAGAAACGAACATAAAAATTACAATTATAAACATTAAATTATTTCATAAAAAAATTCTTACTAAAATAATTACTAGGAATTATTTCTGTTAAGAAAGATTGCTAATAAAAAATTACTATAAACAATTACTATTAGTAAAATGATTTTTAGATAAATTATTACAGTGGAAAAAATACTATTAGAAAAAATTGCTTATTAGGAAAAATTACTATTAAAAAAGCTACAATTAAAAAATTATTATTAAATAATTATTGAATAATTAATAAATAATTATTAAAGAATTATTACATAATTGCAACTAGAAAAAATATTTTAAAAATTATTATTAAAAAAAAACACTATTAAAAAATTGAAAACGAAGAGAGTAATAAAAAAAATTAAAGTAGTTAAAAATTTTGCATATTATAATTTTTTCTCAGCAATTATTTTCTTAATGGTTATATTCTTATACCTTATTTTTAGTCCTAATTTCTAAGAATTAAATATTTTTTTTTCAATTTAATTAAAAATTGATATAAAGACTATTTTTATGTTCAACCTAGGTTTGCTCTTATGTTTGGTTATTAAAAAATTAATACTGAACACTTTTTTTACAGCTTCGTGAGCTTGCTTGTTACATGGTATATTTAGAAATATACAACTTTTAATGTAATTAAGTTATTGAATCAAACGAGCACTGAGTAAAGGTTATTATGCTAATTAAACACAAACTCTAACTAACCCTCTTTATGAAATTAGAAATTATTTATACTCGTCATAAAAATGTGGAAATTCTATTTTGAAAAACATGTATGTGCGTATAAGGAAAAACATTATAGGTAATTCTCTAAAAAATTCAGGAGTAAAAATTTTGTTTTCTTCTTAACTTTAATTAAAAAAGTTCTTTAACTTTTATCTCTCGGATAAGATGTTCCAAGAAATTAAGTTTGATGATCATCTTTTTTTATATTTAATCAATATATAACGTTGATGAAATTTTTGCAAAATATTTGTCAATTAAAAAATTCATTGATCAGATTTTGATTATTATTGCAAAATTTAGTTGGTTGTTACAATTTTCAGTTGATACTTATCAGTTTTCTTGGTAAATTAAATTTTGTCGTCAATTTATTCTATTTTATTATTTTTGTCATTTATTTTTCTTATTTTCTTATTTTTTCATTTATCATTTATTGTTATTTTCTTCATTTATTTCTTTTCTTTATTTATTCATTTATTGTTATTTTATTATATTCTTCACTTATTTATTTACCTTTTGTTATTTTCTTCATTTATTTTTCTTATTTTATTATTTTTCTTTCGAACCAATAAAACAAATTGGAAAGAAATTAAAGGAATTAAAGAAATTAAGGAAATAAATTAAAAAATAATAGTAAAATAAAATATTTTTTTTTATTCATTGTTGCTTATTTATTTTTACTTCGTTTTATTTCTCTATCTTCTACCCAACCCCTTTTTAATCTAGGAAGTTCGAATTACATTTGAATTAATCCTTATAAGAATATGTAATCTAGTTTTCAATTAAATTGATAGTTTTTGCTTCTTTTTTTTTGCCTTGGACTCTGGCGACAATGTGAGTTTATAATATAAAGTTTTAGAAAAACCAGGAACTAATTAACATATCCCTTTTCTTAATCATTGACCTTAGAATTAAATGGAAATCGCACACTTTGAAACGAGGAATTATTTCATTCGAGGTGTGGAACATTCAATGTTCGCGTGATTGCCACACAGAAATTTTTGTTTTACTATTCTTTTTTTTTCTTTTTTGAAAAATTGATCTTCTGTAAAAGCAAATCAATTACGTAAATTGAATATAATATAGAAGTGCTTTTTTTCTATACACGAAAAGATTTTTGATAAACTTTTTCAATTTTTTGTCCTTTGATTTTAATGTATTGCATTTATTGTTTATCATTGAAAGAAGGGAATAATTTGATTTAATTTTAATATTGTTATATCAATTTCTATTTATAGGGAGAGAATGAATGGTTTTTCAATTGAATTCTTTGATTAAAGAAATTTGTAATATAATAATCGACTTTCAGCTAATGCGTGTGATTCATACGTTGCTCTTAAACACACCTGTCAATGATAAAATTTATCAGGTGAAAAATTAAAAGATCCGTAATATATATATATTTTAATTTTCTGTGAAATCGTGACATCGAATTAATTTATTTTGCTTCATTGTAAGTACTTTTTTTTAGGAGATAATTATATCGTTTCGTGTGACAAAATTGCTAATTATGTTTTCTGTCACATTTATAATTATTTTTTGTTGTATTGCTTTTCATTTTTTTTATTATTATTATTATTTTAATATTTTCTTTATTTATTATTATTATTTTTTAGCATTAATTCACTTTATTATTCTTCTTTTTTATTATTTTTCATTATTGTTTTTTAATATTTTTTTTTCTTTTCTATTGTTATTGATTATTACATTTGTTATTCAAATATCGAATTTAATTTATTCATTAACCTGAAATTAAAATATCTGACTCTCCTGGGAATCGAACTCGAAACTTCCAGCTCTGTAGACTTGAACACTAACCATTAGTCTAAGCTCAAATTATTATTGTTCATTATTTTTCAATCTTTTTTATTATTATGTTTTATTATTTTTTATTATAATTTTTTCATATTTGTTTAATATTTTTATTTTTTTAATATTTTTTATTATAATTTTCTATTGTTTTCTATTATTATTTATTATTGTATTTCATTATTTTTTATTGTTTTTTTATTATTTTCTATTATTTTCTACTGTTTTTCATTATTTTTCATGATTTCTTTTTCTTCTATTTCTTGTATACCGAAATTAGAAGTCTTTATATTTTGATATTTACTATAAGTTTCTTTAAGTATATTAATATTTAAAGACTTATAAATTGAAATTTTTTTCCTGAATTTATTCATGAAACATAGTGTGCTCTGATTTGAAGGAATATGAGCAGTAATTACAAGAAATTATTTAAATGGAACGTTTCCAATAACCAGTTGAATGTCAAGTTTACTCGATTCTTCGCTGAGTTATTATGTCATACATTACTTGTCCTTAACTTTTTTCAAGGTCCAATGACAATTTACTTTGTACGTAACTATTTTGAATGTAAATTAATTATTGATACATATAAATATATAAAAATTATAAGTCAGTGATTATTTATAAACATTTCACCAAATTTTCTCGACGTAAACTTCGTTCTGTTTATTATTGGAGATTTACTCCAATATTCTTCTGATTTTCAAATTTTTTTACTATTCTTATTCCAAAAGTTTTCTTTTCTCCCTTTTGATGTGAAAACTATAGAAATAATTAATTAAAGAACTAATTGTCTAATGAAATAGTTAATTAGTGAAATGATTAATATAAGAAATAATTTTCTTTAAGTAATATTTCTTTTATTATTACTGAAGAAATAATTAATTAATGGAATTACCAGTTAATTATATAATTAATAAATGAAATAATTATTGTATATATAATTTAACATTAAATTGATTGTAGAATTGTAAATAATTTTTGAGAATAATAAAAAATTTTATTTCTTTTAGGTTTTATTAGAAAAATAGATGTTCGATCGAAAAATATAGATTTTTGATTGAAAAATATACTTTTTGATTGAAAAATATATTTTTTGATTGAAAAATATATTTTTTAATTGAAAAATATATTTTTTTATTGAAAAATACATTTTTAGTCAAAATATACATTTTTTATTGAAAAAAAATATTTTTTGTTAAAAAATGCATCTTTGATCGAAAATTGAAAAAAAATCTATAAGTGAAATAATCAATAGTTAATTTCTTAATAGAGGGGAAAAAGAGAAACAATGAATTTCGTATTTTCATAAAAATTTATTTATATATAACTGATAATTATGTTTCATTCATTTGCTCTAGAATATTGTTGATAACAATTAATAAAAGTTTTAAAATAGAAATGATTCTCGATGATAGCGCACACTGATTCAGTCATATTCCATCAATCTTGAATGAAGTGATTTTGTTTCTTAGAAAATTATATATAATTTCCTGGGGAATTTTTTTTTTTTGCGAATAAAAATATTTTAATTACCTACAAATTAATCTCTCGTTTCGATTAAAATCTGTTCTTTTCCGCTAATTAACATTTGAATCGTACTGATTTAAAGTGAATTTGCCTTGATGAAAAAATTTTTGCACTCGAAAATAATTCTATACTATTATTTAATTATTTTCATTATTTTCATTATTTCTTTTATTCATTCATTTGTTTATTTGTTTATTTATATAATTGATATTATATTAATTTTTATATTAATTTTTTTTTATATTAATTTGATTGTTACCCGTACAAACTATAAATGAGTAAATAAAATTTAGAAATAATAAAATTCGAAAATACAGGATTTATTAACATTTGAAAAGAAAAGAATACAGCTTGGAATAAATTTTTACAAAAATATTTAATTATCTTTTAATGATAATCAGTTAAATTTTATTATACAGTGTCAATGAAAAAAACATAAGGAAGTTTTTTTTTCTACAATGAGCCTTGGTGCCTAGACAGTAGGTCACGAAGAATCGCTTATTCCTTTTACGCATGATATGCATTTATAATTGCTGTTTATTAATTTTTAAACGAAAAATTCTAACACACCTGTTACATTTGTTCAATGAACGTTTGTATTTTGTTTTTATTTTCTTTTGTTATTTTTTCTTTTCTTTTTTTTTTTTTGTTCTATTTTTCTTACATAAAGAGACAATGTATATAGTCATTTGAAGAAATAATTATTTGGCTTATCTATCGAAAAATTGACGCCAGTGGCGCATACAGAAAAAAGTAAATTAATGTTAAAAAAAAATAGGAGCACATTTGCAGGTGTCTTCTTTATAATGTTTGAAGAAGAAAACATACAGTATGATTGCGTATTAATGTAAAATAATATTCGACTTAAAGTAAACATGTTGTTATTAAAAATTAGCATAACTAAAATATGAAACGTAGTTTATATTATTTTAATGGTTCCTGTTATTATTGACACTAAATGAAAAATGAATAATTGCGATAAAATTCAAGAAATAAGGAGAATAATATTTTCGATTTGTTAATTGTGTAATAATTATGCGCAAATATTGAAAATAGTGAAAACAAAGTACGATATGTAATTAATAATTATTCTTTATTCAGTTTTTTGTATTTTGAGTTTTTATTTTGTTTTTTTCAGGTTTTTATTTAATTTATTTTTATTTTTTAATTTGTAATTTCTAATTTTTCATTTTAAATTTCATTTTCAATTTTCGATTTCAATGTCAATTTCAATTTCAATTTTCCACTTCATTTTCAATTTTCAATTTCATTTTTCGATTTCAATTTTTTCTTTCAATTTCAATTTCAGTTTCAGTTTTGTTTCCAATTTTATTTTCAATTTTCAATTTCATTATTCGATTTTAATTTCAATTTTCGACTTCATTTCAAGTTTCAATTTCAATTGTACTTTGAATTTTCAATTTCATTTTCAATTTTTGATTTCAACTTCATTTTCAGTTTCACTTTCAATTTTCGATTTCAATTTTCAATTTTATATTATTCATTACTTTGAATATAAAATTCAAATTTAATTTAATTTTTTTTAATTTAATTTTTATTCATTTGTTGCCTTTTTCTTTTTTACCTTCTTTTATTTTTATAATTTTGTTAATTTTCGCTTTTTAATGTTTCAATATAAAAATATTTTCATATTTAGAATTTTTTAAATTGAATATGTAATAATTAATTAATTTAATGCAATATTTAAAATTTTTAAGTTTCTAATTGAATGTTTTATATATATATATATAAAATTTAAATAATTTGAGATAAAAAAATATATATTTCCTGCTTCTATATTTTGAAAATACATTAAATAAATATTTTGAATTTAATATTTAATCATTAAAATTTTGAATTAAAAAAAAATTTAATTTCTATACTATTCGTGTCTATAATATTTTTTAATATTCACACTTTTCTCGTTTTTTACATATTTCTCAGTCTTTATCATATCGTCGTCATTCATTCATAAAAATATTATCTACTTCTTTCTTGTTTCATACAATTTTTTTTTATAATTTCCGTCGATTTTCCTCTCTGGATATCGAACTATCTTAAAGAAAATTATAGAGAGAGACAGATGAATTTTAGCATCAGAATACTTATTATGAACATGACGTCTTGCTTCCGGTTGTTGCTTTAAAATAAAGGGTGTAATTTACAATGAAGGGTCTCTAAATTATATAGGTTGATCAATGGAATAAAATTATAATACGTCATTAGATATATATAAGACGCACTTTACTCGTAACATTAAATAGAAAATCTTCTTGCGAATTATTCTCTCGAAAATTCTCCACAACTTCTTCCTCTCAATATATTGTGTACTTGTTGCATTGAGTCTCTTTGCCAGTTTCTTTTATTTTATACAAATACATTTCAAAAAATAATAATAATTATTTGTTTTCATGCTACGTATATTTGTTATTTTCATTATATTTTTTTTCTTTTCTTTTAGCAAAGACTTCTTTGTAATCTTAATTACGTTTTACATATTTTTTTCATTATTGTATATAATTTAATGCGTGCGTCTTTAAGTTATATAAAATAAATAAAAATAAAGTGAAGGTGATAAACAATAAATGAATAAAGATAATAGTAATAATAACAACAACAAAAAAATATTAATAATAATAACAATAATAATAATAATAATAAAAATTAAATAAAAAATAAATATGGTTTTTTAAATTTTTAATTTAAAAAAAAGGAAGTGGAAAAAAATGGAATATTAATATATTATTAATTTAATTAATTATTTATTTTATTTTTTTAATTGATTTTGGAATTATTATTATAATTATAATCGTAATAATAATAAAAATTAAGTAACAAAAAAATATTGTTTTAAAATCGTTCTCTGGGAAAAAAATTGAATATTATGACGTAGTCTCTTGCTTTTTTTCTCAAAAACTTTTCTGAACTTGTCAATCATTGGTTATGTTGAAAAAAAAACTGTATTTTTATCCACTACGTCAAAAAGAAATGGTTAAATACAGAAAACTGATGATTTAACCATGTTTGACGTCATGTTATGTGAAATATTAATTTTTAACCTCGACATTTGGGATGAATTTTTTTTTTCTATGTCTTTTATATTTTGAAAATTTCAAAAAATAATTAATTATATACGATATTTGGTAATTTTACGAGAAAAGGGAATTTTTTACTACTACTTTTATTATTTATTATTATTTGCATTGTTTATTATTTTAACTATTATAATTTTTATTATTAATTATTTTCTTATTAATTATTTTTTATTTTCATTGTTTATTATTTTTTTAATTATAATTTTTATTATTATATTTTTTATTATTAATTAATATTTTTGTTATTTTTATTGTTTATTATATTATAAACTCAGAAAACAGAGCTATCGTTAATTTAAAGAAATCAGTTTATTAGACTTGTTTTATTTTTAATTAAAAATAAATTTTTCTTTCAAACTTAAAAAACTTTTTGATTTAAACCAGTTTATTTCCTATATGTTTTAAACAAATTTTCTTCGAATTCAAGAAATTTTATCATTGACACTGGGTCTGGAAAGAAAAATTTCTTTGAAACAATAGTAAATTGTTTCGGAAAAAAATAAATTATTTCTGAATTAAATAATTTTTTTTTTGAACAAAATAAATTTTTTTTGAACCAAATAAATTTCCTTTGAACGAAATAAAATTTGCTTTGAACCAGATGAATTTTTTTTGAAGCAAAGAAAAATTAATTGTCTATCGACGAAACAAGTCAATATTTATCACTATTTATTGAAATTTTTATTATTTTTATTTATTATTTTTTAGGGAAAAAATCTTCACCTGAAACAGCTATAAAATTCTCTATATTAGCGAAATATTTAGTTATTTTAATTAAGACTTTCGTTATTCTAGAGAAACTTATCGCTGTTCCAGGTGAATGTTTCTCTCTCTGTTTGTTATTTATTTAGTATTATTTTTGTTATTTATTTTAATTCGTTAATATTTATTTCTATTTTTGTTATTTTTTAAACACTTTCTTATTACATTTTGTATTTATTATTATTTTTTTTATTATTATTTATTATGACTTTTATTTTTTTATTTATTATTATTTTTATTGGGGTTGTGAGCTGAATTAAAAAAGAGATGGAAGCAGTTTAAAAAGTGTTACGATCAATGAAACCTGAATAAGATTCTTATAAATATGCAAAAGAAAAAAATGATTGCTAATTGTTGGGATTTGTTGCCTCTTTTTTTTCCTAAAAATTCTCTTAATGGGTAATTTGCTTTGAAAAAAAAATTGTTGGGGAAAAACTTTGAAAATTCATATTCTCTGAAAGTGCCATCCGCATAAGCGGGAAAGCTTTTGACCGTTTTCTTGGGATTCCTCGTGGCGCTTAGGTTTGTTCGCGGCTCGCGCCATCCAATCGGCGTGGCACGCGTCTGTGACGTCAAAACACGACTATATAAAAGCTCCGAGCGCCAGTTTCGAGTTCAGACCACAGTTTGAGCTCTTGAGAAATGAGCGAGACTAGGTAGAGAGAGAGTTATTCTCTTCAACTCTCTATTACAAATGAGTCTCCAGTGATAATACAACTGAGTGGCAGTTTGTTATTTAACTTCCCTTAGTTGTTATAAATTAAAGAAAGAAAAAATTTTAAAAACAACAACAACAACAAATTCCGACAACCAAGGATTTATAAAACTAGTCAAAAATTCTTTTACGAGTTTAAATGGTGCCGCGTCATTAAAACGTGTGACTGTATAAAGTGTAAATAACAATATATATATTTGTATATATATAAATATTTATTATTACCAAAAGTACGCAAAGTGGGAAAACTTAAAAGCAGTTTTTCGATAATTTGTCATTCAGTGCTCGTTTTGATTCTCTCAGGAAAATATTTATATATAGTGAAATGGAAATATTGAAGATTTAATTTGAAAATCTTGAAGTTTGCTAATTTGAAAAAAGTAACCCTTAAAAAGAGTTATTATACTTTTTCTCCAAAAAAAGTAATTTTTTGGGGAGAGTAAATTTAATTGTTTATTCCTTTTTTTTTGAGACTGTGTAAGAGTTCTCGACTTGTTCGAGAATTCGCCATAAAACAGCCTGAAAATTCCTACTAACGTAGCAAAGAAGCTCACGAGGTTGTACATTAAGTACAAGAAGATGGTTGGAAGCAACGGGACCATGATTGCGATTCGCCTTGTCCGTAGTAAGTTGCGGAAGAGGGAGGATCATGCCAATGCTCAACATCCTGAACCTGTTGTTCAAACGGCAACGCCAGGCAATAATGTTGTCTCACAAACAACAACGACAACAACATCGTCATCGAGTCCTGTTGATGGTTGCTGTACGCAAACAACAGTCCTGACGACGTCAACAACGGCGGTCGTCACGATGGACAGCAATGGTGTTGAGCCGGATCCAATTTTCACCACAAATACAGCAACGGCCGAACAATTTATTTGGCAATTCCCGCCACCTTATCCACCGCTTAATACACCGCCACCTCAGTATACACTGTACAATGACCAGGTGAGTCTCTTTTCATTGTTATTATTATTTGAAAATCAAAACATAGTTTTTGGAATTAAATATTTCTTTCACATTTCATCATTTTTGGAAGTTGTCAGTGGGAAGAATTTGGTGATAACTTGTGAAATTTGATGACAACTAGCAAAATTTGATGATAACTCTAAAAAATTTTGACAACTTTGAAAAATTGTGTTTTGGTATTCAAATTCAAATTTCTTGTTAGAATATTCGTTTGATCATTAAGATTATACAGTAAAAAGAACAGAAAATATTTTTGCTTGACAACAAAACATTCAGCTGATGATAATTGACATTATTTTGCTGATTGAACAATTGTTTTGGTTTTTGTTAATTTATGATTAGGTACATTGTATTGTTATTGTTATTGCTGAACGAAATATTTAACTATGAAATTTTGTGTTGACAATTTTATCAAGTTTCTGCTGAAGAAAATTTTGTTGAGAGGGAAAGAAGTATTAATGACAAATTTTGATCGATTCTTTTCTAAATAAGAGTATAAATTTTTGTTTGCATTATTGATAATAAAATTCAAGTGGCAGGAATAAAAATATATTAACACTATGGTAAAAATATAACTCGAATAAAAATCAAGTAAAAAAACAGTCAATCAGATGTAAAAAAAGTAAATTTAATAAAAAAACAAAAATTTAAAAAGAAAGTAAAAGCAATAAAAAAAGTAAAAATATTTTTAAAAAATGTCAAAACAATAATAAAACAGAAAAAATAATTAAAAAGTATGACAATAACAAAAATATGGTAACAATAACAAAAAAAATTGAAACAATAATAAAAATATGTCAACAATAATAAAAATATAGCAGCAATAAGAAAAATAAAGCAGCAATAACAAAAATATAGCAACAATAATAAAAAAATAAACCAATAATAAGAAAATTTTGATAACAATAACAAAAATATAACAATTACAATAAAAAATTGTTTTATACAACAACAACAAAAATTAGCAACAACAGTTAGAAATAAAGCAATAATAGGAAAAATATGACAACAATAATAAAAATATTGTAGTGACAATAGAAAATATAAGGCAACAAAAATAAAAGAAAATTAGTAACAATAGTAAAAGTATAGAAACAATAACAACAAAAATAAGGCAACAATAGCATAACTATAGCAAAAAGAATAGAAAATATAGCAACAGTAGTAAAAATATGACGACAATAAAATAATATAGCAATAGCAATACAAAATATAGTAACAATAAAAAAATATTATATTACAATATTATATTATATATATATATTATATTATAATAATAATAATAATAATAATATAATTATATTATATATTATATATATTATATTATAATATTATTATTATAATATTATAATAAAATATAACAACAGTAGTAAAAGTATATCAACAATTAAAAAATACAGCAATAACAATACAAAAATTTATTAACAATAAAAAAATACAACAATAATAGTAAAAGTATGGCAACAATAAAAAGATATAAAAACAATAAAGTAAAAAAATTTTTTTTAAATAACAGCAATAAAAAATGTAGTAATAACATAAAAAAATTCAAGCAACAAAAAATATATCAATTTAACAATAAAAAAATTATGGTAGCAAAAAAATAAAGCAACAACAATAAGAAGAATTGCAACAACAATAACAATAACAACAACAAAAATTGTAGCAACAAAAAATATAGCAATACCAATTATGGTATTGCAATAAAAAATTATGGTAACAAAAAGTTAGATCAATAACAATAAGAAAAATTGCAACAACAGTAGCAATAACAATAAAAAAAATTATTGCAACAACAAAATATGGCAACAATAATAAAAGTAAAAATGAAAAATCCAGCAAAAAAAATAGAAACATACCAGAAAAAATAAAAATGTGGCAACAAAAATAAAAATTTAAGAACAATATAAACTTACGAAAAAAATGCCAAAGTTCTAATTCATCTTTAGTTAACAACAAATAATAATTTGACCAATATTCAAACTTCAGTTTAATATGAATTAAATAAGAAGAAAAAAATAAATAAATGAAATGAACTTTCACTGAAAGTAATTTATTTAATTCTAATTTTTACTCAACTTTCTTACTCATATTTATTTACTTTTTTATTTATTATTTATTATTTATTATTTATTTATATACGAGAAAAATAAATTTTTATTTCGACTAATTTACTTGGCTAATTTGAATAAACAAGAGATTAAAAACATTTCATTTGAATGACTTGAAAATTAAAAAGAAAGTTTAATATTGTTTTTTTTTCTTATTCAACATCTTTACTTTTTTAAAAAAAAAGCATTGTCATATGTGAAAAACAAAAGTTTTTAATGAAATTATTGCAATGATTCAGGGATCATATCAAGGAATGTTCTTTTTTTGCTTATAATATATTTTATATAATGAAAGAATTTTTGAATGAAATATTATAATATGAGTATATAATTCGATAAATATTTGTTTCTTTTCTTTTTGTCGTCTTCTCGTAAAACTTTCTTTAAAGTATTGTATAAAGAATTTAAAATATTTTGCAATGGACTTTGCTACTAATTTACAACGCTGCCAAGTTTCATTTATTGTATATTGTGTATTATACGTACTTCAATACTATATCCTTAAAAGTTTCGTTCAAGTTATTGTCATGAACATTGTTTCTTTTATTTTTATTTTGATACTGCAATCAATTCTCCCATAGATTTGGTTTGAAGATAATTTATCTTTCCTAGAAAAAATTTTGAGGGATATTCGAAACTATTCACTCAAACTTTATCTTTAGGTTCATATTTATTTTCTTTCAAAAATAATTATTTTTTTTATCAATTTTGTATTAAATTATTATTAATATATTATTATTATTTCTTATTATTTATTTTTTTACATATTTAGTATTTAAAAATAATATTTTAATAAAAGTATTAAAAAACTACTGTTAATGAAAAACCAAATTTTAACAAAAAATACAATTTTTAATTAATAGTTCAATTAATAGTTTAATTAATAATTAATTAATAATTCAATTAATAATTTTGGCAATAGAATTGTTATAACAAAATTTTTAATAATTGGTAGTGAAAGAATACAGTGATTGTTTGTTTTTTAATTTATTTGAATCTGAGAGAAAGTTGTCTATATTTTCTTTTCTTTAATTTTTAAACATTCCAACTGAAACTTTAAAACGACAGTAAATTATTGAATTTCAACGGAACTCTATTTTAGAATGACAAAAGGGGAATTTCTCTTGCGTAAAATAACGTAATAAGGATAAAGAAAAAAAAAATATATATATAAACCTGTGACATATATAAAAATATTTCGTGTCTAACATTGCGATTAGCAACGTTAACCAGCGTAGGAGTAAACAAATTACATCAAGTTTTGAAATTTTCATTTAATAATTTTCAAAGTTTTCTACGTAATTAAAAGTTATCTTAAATATTGAATTTTTTGAAAATTATTATAATTCAAAATTACTTAGGTATAATTACAGTGATAATTATAATTCATAATTATTATAATTACAATGATAATTATTTTTATTTAAAGTGATAATGAAAAAATAAATTTTTAAAAAATGATAATAAACATATTCCAACTGGAGAAGTAAATAATAAATATACACTAATAAGGAAAAATAATAAATATATTAATGAAGGAAAATATAATAAAGAAAAATTACAACTAAAATTTATATTCTTTGGAATATAATTATTTATTAAAAATTCTTTTATTTGTTTAATTTTATTGGTCAAAGTTATTAAGCACAGTTACATTATTTTATTCAGTGTCTTGTTGCCACATGAATCTATTGTTGAAATTATAAAGCTTCATATATACACATAAACTACAACGTTCCATGAATTTAAATTTAAACGTTCGATTAAAAAACTAGCGAACAAAAAAAAAAAAAAAATTCGTGCCAGTTTGGCTTATACAGTGTGTCAGACCAATTGAGGCGAATGTAAAGAATTTGATTATGAACCGGACCTCCTAGAGGCGAACTTTTTAATCAGTGAAACTTGCTCCAAAAAAAATTAAAAGTTCATACAAAGATTATATAAATTTGCTCTTATACTTATTTTTTTTTTGTCGAACCATACACTTAAAAATCGAAATGATAAATTATAATTACACTCTATCACACATTTTTGTATAATTATATTTTCTATAAAGTCAATGTATGATTTCAATGTCGTTTTTATTAATTATTCGGAAAAAAAATCCCGATTTATGGACTTTTGTACTTTATACATTGAATTGAATATTATCAAGATTTAGTAAATCATTCATGATAATGAAGAGGTAGTATTTATTAAAATGAGATTATATCAGATATCATATATGGTTGATTTTGTTTCATTATTGCATTCAGTTTTATATTGCCTTAATTAATAAATTAATTAATAATGCAAATAGAACTTTGCATTCGAGATTATTTGGCATCATTTACTAATTAAAATGATTTTGCTAATTAGCTTATGGATTCTTGTTTCTTGTACTTTAGAATTAAAATATGAAAGAGAGAGTAGAAAGACAATTTTGTTTCCGAATTTAATAATTTGTTTTATGAAATTAAAATACAGGAATAGTAGATGTAAATTTTGTTAGTTTGAAACAAAAAATGTTTAATAAATACGATCCTAATGAATTAATTTTGTAATAATATATAGTTTTGTAATAATTGATAATTAATTCTTCTGCGGGGTAACTTGAGTAGTAAAAACTAAACAGTAGTTAACTAGACAACATCTGTAGGAGAATATATTCCAATCATGTTCGTAATTCGAGAAGATTGCAAAACGTCTCTCTCTCTCTCTCTCTTTTTGCTCCTTCTTAATTGAAAACATCTGTATCATTATATCGAAGACCTCGACATCTTCAATATTCAAACACTTTATTATTAATATTCAATATTTCATTAGTACAAGTAGCAACAGTTTCAATTCTTGTATCAATATTTCTCTCAGGTTTCCCATAAGAGTGTG